TGAGGACGGGCCATTTAAAATGAGGACTGGCCATTTACAATGAGGACAGGCCATTTACAATGAGGACGGGCCATTTACAATGAGGACTAGCCATCTACAATGAGGATGGGCCATTTGCAATGAGGACTAACCATTTACAATGAGGACGGGCCATTTATAATGGAAACTTTCCATTTACAATGGTACCTGTTTCTTCAAAAAGTGGACTATTTATTTAAACTTTTTAGATAACATTTGTTTAAACCTAAAAGACAGTTCAGACGTCTAAAGGATGTTAGAAGGACATACTCTGAAGGGCAAACCATAAGAAAGGGGCTGAGTTGTTAAACTCTGTATGTACTTTTATTTTCTTCCTCTATAGGACGTGGTGGTTCTAGGATCAGAAACACTCACCACCCCCTGTTACGTCCAGCTTGACCCTCAGACTTGCCACATGGTGACCGAACAGCTTGGTACCTACTGCCTGGTAGGACAGTCCATCAACAAATCAGCAACCAGGCGACTGAAGCTCGCTATTTTTGCCCCTGTGGTCTGCAATTCACTGGAGTACAGCATCCGTGTCTACTGCCTAGATGATACGCAAGACACTCTGAAGGTACCTTTGCAATCTTACGCTGGGAAGCCATAAAGAACTTGCATTTATATTGTACCTTTCACAGCCATAATATCTCCAGAAAAGCTTTAAAGCCAATTAAGAGTTTTTTTTTTGACGTGTAATTACTGTTGTAATGTAGGAAACATTACATCCATTTTACAGACAGCTGCATCCTACAAACAGTAACATGATAGCAACCCGTAGTGATTGGAACCAGGTGGACCTCACTGACCACAAGGCCCTTATTGGGGTTGTTTACCTGGGCCAATCGGGAAAGCCCTAGCTGACCAAAATAACCAGAATATCCTCAGTTCAGGGGATTGACTTGGAGCTGGCTGACCACAGTTACTGTGCACAAGTAAATAAAGGGTGACTAGGTGATGGGATACCGGCCTCTGTGCGGTTATTTCACAACCATATCATCTGCCTTTGGGTCATGGTCTGAATGATTAATATTGGCCAAAGCACTGAGGATAACTCTCCAGGATCTCATGATTTAACCTGACAGTGCAGTAAGTATTGAAGTTTATCCGACATTTCAAAATGACAGGACAGTGGAGAAAGTTGGTGAATAGCTCTGTTAATTAAGGATGGCAATCGTACAATAGTGAGAGATGATCTTAGCACAAAGGGACAAGATGTAGATTCAGAATGGGACGTGATGAGAAGTAGCTAAGATGAGAGACTATCTGTGGAAGTAGTTTATACCACTCATGGCAGTAGTTACACTGTAAAAAAGTATATACAGGAAGAAATAATTGGGCTGTATAAGAAATGTGCCACATAATCATGGTGTTTTTAATCTAAATATAGATTGAGTGACCCAATTGGCAAAGGTAGAAAAGAAAATGAGCTCCCAGAATGTATTCGGAACAGCTTCATCAAGCAATACATTCTATCACCGTACAGGGAGCAGGCCCTTCAAAACCTGGTTAGGTGCAAGGTGGCACGATTAATTAATAAAAACAGAAAGAGCTGTGGATGCTCTAAATCAGAAACAAAAACAGAAATTGTTGCAAAAGCTCAGTTCTAAGGAAGGGTCACTGGACCCTAAACATTAACACGGAATTAATTAATTACCTTGTTGTGAAGGAGCCTGTAGGTGGCAGTGATCATAACATGATAGAGTTCCAGGTTCAGAGCAAAGGTGAGAAATGTGGGTTTAAGGCTGATGTTTTGAGGAAGTAACAAGCTGGTGGATCAAGGGACATCAGTAGATGTGGTGTACTTGGATTTTCAAAAAGCTTTTGATGTGCCACCTCAAAGGTTGCTTCACAAAATAGTAGCTGATGGTGTAATGGGTAAGATATTAGTACAGATAAAAAAAATTGGTTAGCTAACAGGGAGAAGAAAGTAAGAATGAATGGATCTTTTTCAGGTTGGTAAGCAGTAATGAGTGGAGTACCACTGGGATGTGTGCTAGAAATTGGAAAAGTGATTTCCAATTTTTGTCAATAACTTGGGAACAGTTGGTGGATTTGCCAATGACACCAGGACAGGTGGAAAAGAAAATTGTCAAGAGGAGGAAGAGATTCTGCAAATGGATATAGACAGATTAAGGGAATGGGCAGAAATTTGGCATATGGGGGTGTAATGTGGAAAAATGTGAATTGACCACATTTTTCAGGAAGAAATAGAAAAGTAGCATAGTATTTAAAAGGAAAGAGATTGCAGAGATCTGTGGTTTGGGTTACAGAGGAGTCTGGGTGTCCCAGTACATGAATCACAAAGCCTTTATATGCAGGTCAGCAAGAGTTTGGAATGTTGTTGTTCATTGCAAAGATAATTGAATATAGAATATAGAGAGTTTTTACTGCAGATGTGCTGTGCCTTGATGAGATCACATCTGAAGTACTGAGTACAGTTTTGGTTCCTTATTTGGAATGGGTATAATCAGAAACAATTCAGAGAAAGCTTTATTGCTCCGTTCCTGGCCGTGATTTACTGGGTTTGGTTGATTAATTTGGCTTTTTACCCATTGGAGAATGAGAAATTGTAACATGTAAATATGCCAAGGGAACTTGACAGGTTGGACTCTGGGAGGATATTTCTCTTGAGAGAGAGAAGGGTAGGACCAGGTGACATTGTTTCACAATGAGCAGCGTTAACATCTCAATCCAAGAGGCTTCTGAAGAAGTGTAACCAGACTCTAAACTTTAGCTCTATTTCTCTAGCCACAGATGCTGCCACACCTGCTGAGTTTCTCCAGCAATTTCTAATTTTGTTTGTTTCAGATCTTCAGTATCTGCGGTTCTTTGTTTTATTTAAGAATGACCAGTTTCCCTTTTCAGGTGGAGATGGGGAGAATTGATCTACCACATTAACGTGTGGGAAACTCTTCCTGAGAAAACAGTAGAAGCTGGTCATTGAATTTATTGAAGGCAGAGTTAGATAGATTTTTGATAGGCAAAGGTGTCAAAAATTATGGCGGGCAGGCTGGAAAGTGGAGCTGAGACCACAATTCTGATCCACCATGATCTTATTAGATGGTAGAGTAGGTTTGAAGGGTAGAATGGCCTACTTCTTGGTTCTGTGCTCTAGTGCAGTAGGAAACTGGACCTTATGCTCATGTTCCAGGGTTGGGTTCTTGAAGACTGTGGGGAAGGGGTGATGGTGGGATTCTATTCTTCCAGAAATTCTTTGACCTTTGGCATTTTCCATCATTTTGGATTCTGCAGTGGGCACAGCCATTTGTTTCTTTATTAAACAAAGAATTCTTCATATTACTTAATTGAAGAAAGCTTTCCCTAAAGTCATAGAGTCATACAGCACGGAAACAGACACTTTGGTCCAACCAGTCCACGCTGACCATAATCCCAAACTAAACCAGTCCCACCTGCCTGCACTTGGCCCATATTCCTCCGAACATTTCTTAATCATGGTCGATACAGTGTGGAGCTGGAGAAACACAGCAGGTCAGGCAGCATCAGAGGAACAGGAAAGTCAATGTTTCAGGTTTACACCCTTCATCAGGATTCTGAAACCTGAAGCATTGTCTTTCCTGCTCCTCTGATGCTGCCTGACCTGTTGTGTTCCTCCAGCTCCACACTGCATCGACTCTGACTCCAGCATTTGCAGTTCTTGCTATCTCCTATTTCTTATTCATGAACTTATCTAAATGTCTTTTAAATGTTGTAACTGCACCTGCACCCGCCACTTCCTCTGGAAGTTTATACCCACATATGAACTACTCTCTGTTTAAAAAAATTGTTCCTCATGTCCTTCTTAAATCTTTCCCCTCTCACCATAAAAATATGCCCTCGGTTTTGAAATTCCCCCACCCTAGGGAAAAGACACCTGCCATTCACCTTATCTGTGCCCCCCTCATGATTTTGTAAACCTCTATAAGGTCACCCCTCAGCCTCCTATGCTCCAGTGAAAAAAGTCCCAGCCTATCCAACCTATTTTTATTACCCAAACCCTCTTTTTAAATCTTCTCTGAACCCTCTCTAGTTTAATAATATCCTTCCTGTAGCAGGGCGACCAGAACTGGACACAATATTTCAGAAGAGGCCTCACTAATGACCTGTACAATCTCAATATGACATCCCAACTCGTATACTCAAAGGTTTATCTTTGGGATAAGGAAAATCTGGGCCTCATAGTGGGTGTATGCCTGGTCTTAGGGTCTTTTGGTAGTGTTCCTATCTCTGGGTCAGAAAATCTGGGTTCTAGTCCAACCTGCTGTGAAGATGTGTCATAACTTGTCAAAACATGTTGCTTAAAGCTGATTTATACCTGGTTTAGTTGCAGTGGAATGTGTAGGCGTACATCTCAGTCCTTCATTACAACTAGGCCTGAGATATGTTCATTCACTCTGAGATAAGTCATTGTATGCTCATGTGTTCAGTCAACCCTGATCTTTGTTCACAGGAAGTAATTCAGCTCGAGAGGCAACTGGGAGGACAGCTAATGGATGAACCAAAGACTCTCCTGTTCAAGGACAGCACCCATAACTTGCGTTTGTCCATTCACGATATCCCTCACTCTCTCTGGAGAAGCAAACTCCTTACAAAGTACCAGGTAAAGAGTTTCAATTAGCTTGCTTTCTGCATGGCCCATTGCTCCCTGTTTTGGGTACCAAAGAAGGGAAGACTGGAGGTAATTACAGTCATAGATCTCTGACTGTTAACCCATTATTGTACTAATTTTTTTTTAAAAGTCTGTTATTCTACATTTTATTATTTGCATATTGGAGAATTTATTGAATAGCTCCATTAGGTTTATTTTCTCAACTCCCATACATTTTAGAGTTAACCTTTGCTTTATATTGACCATAACTATAATCTTCTAAGACTGAAGCTGTGAATTTTGGCTTTCATGAATGATTTATATTAATTGTGTTTACTGTAAATGACAGCACATAAGTCAATCCAGTGTTTAACACCACCCTATCTTTTCAGGTCCACGTGCTTGGTCTATAATTCAACCAGCTGCCCTTTTCAGCCCAGGACAGATTACAATTGTATTAGCAGTCAGCCTCAATTATCACCCTGCGAATGGGTACTTTATTTACTCCTACTTTGTAATTGAGGTGAAAGAGATCAAACAGAGGGTGTGTGGTGAAGATTTGTGGGAGTTAAAGGTGCACAGAGCAGGCCCCGTGTGTCAAGTGACAACCCCCTCAAACTCATGGGGAGTAATTCACTCTTATACTCCACAGATAAGTCAGCCCTTATTTTGAGAGGAATTTTTTTCAAGGATTTGAAAGTTACCATAAATATCAACATAGACAGTAAGTGTATTTGGGTATTAACCGGGGATTCTCATGCTCCTGTATTAGTACCATCAGTTCTTCCTCAATGTGAAGATGATGCCTACTCAAGATGTTGGGTCTTCATGTGACTGTACAGACTGATCCTGCACCCACAGATCTATGAGCACATGGGGCAGGTGTCCCATGACAAACAGTGGAACTCAGAGAGCTGGATTTGTTCCTCCTCCGTCACCACTCTATCTCATCATTAAAGTATTTGGATTCATGATACAGCTTGATGGACAAGTTGTCATCATTTTAAATGATTAGTGGCAAGCTCCCCTCAGTCATTGATGTTAACGCTGCCAGACTTCAAGGAAAACTTGTGTCTTTATAGCTCTTTTTCTGTCCTCCCTGGAATGATTGGAAGTTGAGAGACAGAATCAATTGCGTGAGGTAAAGATTCATGAGATCGATTCTGGGTATTGAGGGACTGTCTTATGAGGAGACATTGAGTAGCTTGAGCCTGTACTCATTGGAGTTTAGAAGAGTGAGAGGTGACCTTATTGAGACATAGAAAATTCTTTAGGAATTGACAGGATAGATGCCGTAAGGTGGTTTCCTCTTGTGAGAGAGTCTAGGACCAGAGGGTGTAACCTCAGAATAAGAGGCCACCCATTGAAGACAGAGATGAGGAAGAATTTCTTCTCTTACGTTCGTAAATCTGTGGAATTATTTACCATAGAGGGCTGTCGAAGCTGGGTCATTAAGTGTATTCAAGGCTGAGATAGACAGGTTTTTAATGAGTAAAAGAATCAAGGGTTATAGGGAAAGGGCGGGAAAGTGGAGTTAAGGATTATGAGGTCAGTCATGATCTCATTAAATGGACAAGCAGACCCAATGGGCTGAGTGGCCTACTCCTGCCCCGACATAACATGTTCTTGCGATCTCTTATTCAGCAGACTTGAGTTCATTTCACTGTGAAATGGTTGCAGGATTAATGATGACACTTCTTAAACAACCAAATCTTTGAAACACAGTCCTCAGAACCTCATGATTTACCTCTTGTTGATCTGACTGCCATAGGCAGCTCAGGTCAAGGGGTCGTTAATGAACACAAACTTCTCCTAAGAAGTTGTGAAGGCAGAAATCCATGGAGGGTTCTGTCCACAGGAGTAAATGAACCTGCAATCAAACATACTTCCACAGTCACCACCTTTCAATTCCAGAATGAATTGAGGTTAAATTCCAAGAATTGATGCCTTGTCCACAGAGTATTAGTCTGGGCATTACTTGTCAAACAGCATTACCATTACACCATCGTCATCCCCTGTGAAAGCAAGGGTAGAACTATTACCACCTACGGATTCTGTGTGAGACCTCCTGTACCTACCCACAGATTGTGTGGACCTCCTGTACCAGTCCACAGACTGTGTGGGACTTTCTGTAGAATGGATGTAACATGAGCATTGACACCTTCAGAGACACCTTCACTTTTGCAACAGCCATCATCTCCCACCATCACAAAACCATCATCCAAACAGAACGACTATCACAAAAGAAAGCAAGTACATTTCTAGTACTTCAAGCTCAATAATCATGTCAATAATCATGTCAATGGGCTGGTACTCCCAAATCTCAGGGGACATTGGTTCAAATCCCATCATGATGATTGGCAGAATTTAAATTTAGTTTACAAGAATGATCCGTGGACTTCAGGGGTCAAGTTGTGAGGAGTGATTATTAAAATTAGGCCTGTTTTCTGCAGAATTAAGACAATTAAGGAATAATCTGATCAAAATATTCAAGATACTATCAGGAAAAAAACAGGGTAGGTAAAAATAAATTATTTCCACAGGTTGGGAATTCTAGAAGTAAGGGGGGAGGGGGTCACAGACTAACAATTAGGGCCAGACCATTTTGGAGAAGTTTTAGGAAGCACTTGGACACACAAAGGGTGATCGAGGTTTGGAACTCTCTTCCACAAATGGCAGCAGATGCTATATCACTTGTTAATTTTAAATTGGAGATAGATCGATTTTGTTTGAAGGGATCTGGGCCAGAGGCAGGTACATGGAGGTAGGCCACAAATTAGTCACGATCTCATTGCGCGGTGGAACAGGCTTGAGGGGCTGAATGGCCCACTCCTGCTCCTATGACCTATGTTGCTAAGTGCTCAATAGCACCTTTCCACTGACACCTTTCTGCCTTTCTCAACAGGAAATTCCTTTCTATCACATATGGAATGGCTGTCAGAGGAACCTTCACTGCACCTTCACCCTGGAGCGTTTCAGTCTTGTCACCTCCGAGCTGGTTTGTAAGCTGTGTGTACGCCAGGTGGAAGGCGAGGGGCAAATCTTCCAGATTCAGAGCAGCTTGTCTGAGGTAAAGACAGTCAATCTATACCAAACATGGACTGGTGACCAGTGAGACCGATGGCCCATGTTCCCTTGCACTGACTGTGACCACTTGTCCAGGGCTGTTGGGACTATCTCCTGAAGCTCGCCGCCTGTCCCACAAATGGACGGCGTATTGAGTTAACACTTGTCCTTCTGACGTATGCTGTTCAAGCTGCCCCATACTGAAGAGTATGTCTTTCCCTATGTTTGAGTCAGTCAGCTCCAAACTCCCAGCCAATGCAAACCAACCGCAACAAACAGGCTCATCATCTCACTCACTGGCAACTCACCACAGATCAGGCATGTAGGAATGAATGGAAAGGAATGAGCCAAATAAATGGATGAATATAGAAGTAAAATGATACATTTAGATGGCACCTTTCACAACCTCGCAATGTCTTAAGATGCTTGACAGACAACGCCTAACTGTTGAAACCCAGTCACTGTTTGTTACTGTAGGAAGCGGAAAACTATTGTGCTGCAAAAAAAAATGCAAACATTTCTGAGTTTGGGTTTCAAGTTGAACCAGAGCTTTGGCCGACAGTCATAGAAATATAGACAACAGGAGCAGGAGTAGGCCATTCTGTCCTTTGAGCCTGTTCCATCATTCAAAGAACAAAGGACAAAGAAAATTACAGCACAGGAACAGCCCCTTCGTCCCTCTAAGCCTGCAACGACACGCTGCCCAACACAACTAAAACCCCCTACCCTTCCAGGGACTGTATCCCTCTATTCCCATCCTATTCATGTATTTGTCAAGACACCTTTTAAAAGTCACTATAGTATCTGCTTCCACTACCTCCCCTGGCAGCGAGTTCCAGGCACCCACCACCCTCTGTGTAAAAAAATTGCCTTGTACATCACCTTTAAACCTTCCCCCTTGCACCTTAAACCTGTGCCCCCTGGTAACTGACTCTTCCACCCTGGGAAAAAGCTTCTGACTGTCCAGTCTGTCCACGCCCTTCATAATCTTGTAGACCTCTATCAGGTCGCCCCTCAACCTCCATGGTTCCAGTGAGAAAATTCATTTAATATGATCATGGTTGATCATCTAACTCAGCCCCCTGTTCCTGCTTTCTCTCCCATATCCTGTGATCCCTTTAGCCCTGAGAACTGTATCTAACTCCTGTTATCCGTCTGATAACGGATTGTCAAATCCAAAAGTGTTGCAGTTTGGAACTGTTCATCGTTCACATCAACGAGCACAAAATTCAGCATTTTACTTGTTACTAGGTTAGCACTGAGAAGATTGTTCAGCTACCCCTGCTGTCTTCAACCTAAAGCTGACCCATCAGCTCCAGGTTACTTTGCTTCAATGCCGTTTGTTCGGCTGTGGAATCAGGCCACCATCTCAGGCTGTTTCCCTGTTTGTTATTCACCCCCTCCATCAACATCGGGGATATCTGCTTGCTGTTAGCGTGAGTTTGCTGTGCATAAATTGGTCACGTCGCCACAAGGATGGCATTCTCAGGAGTTTCTTCAGTGGCTTTAAGGTGGTGAAAGGCACTACAGGAATGCAAGTTGTGTCTTTCTTTCCAGGATGGAGTCAGCAAAGAGAGGGGGCACGGTCTTTTGGTCTGAATTGATCAGACGAGGAAGGGCAGGTGATTGGAACTGACCCAAAGAGACAGTCTTTTCTCTGGATGATAAGACTGGCCAATAGAGGCTGGTTAAGCCCTTCAGGAATCAGCATATCGGACACACCACAGATTCCTTTTCAGAGTTGCAATGAGTTAGATGATTTCTAGCCTTTTATGATGTGAGGGTGGCTTTGACACATTGCCACGGTGTCTCTGCAATCCTAGTTCTAGCTTTCAGTTGAACAGAAGTTTCACCGGAGAACATTGCTCTCTGATCAAAGGCAGGGGAAATTATATTTGAACTTGGTCTGTTATAGAAACAGTTTGAATCATTTTACCTGATGTGCTCCCAATCCCGACACACACTTTCTCGAAACTCACCCTGAAGTTTTCTTTGACCTCCTCACGGTCCTGGCCAGTGGTTTATTTCACAGATGATCAGAAGTAGCTTCCAAATCCTGCTTCGCTAACTCCCTTCTAGCACTTTCTCTGACCTTTGTCACCGCAGATTGCGGCACACAGCAAAAAAACATGATCTCCCAGCATTGCCAACTTCCTTTTGTCGCTGCTGAGTTATTTTGCTTTGAGGAGAAGGAGGATGACTTGTGAATCCATCCAGGTAGAACTCTGTCCCGTCTCTGTGTCTAATTTCTGGGAATAGCTTCTCTCGTTCTGAGATGAAACCTTCAGCGTATGTGCCCAGAAGAAAACTAAATTGAACTCTCTCAGGAGGCGTGTGAGATTGCTCAGGAAACTGGTGACAGAGAATGAGCCACCATTCTCCATACTTCACTTGTGGGCTGGTTCATTCGAGGCAGTCAAGAAGGAGTTGTATTACTAGTGACAAACAATTCTGTTACGTTCAGTGCCTCGATGTGCTACAGATTTCTGTCCATCCATCAGCCCACATTGCTCACCCATCGTCCAACAATGCTTTGATTTTAAACTATCCACCCTCATTCTCAATAAAAACTACGGGTGCTGTAAATCAGGAACAAAAAAAACCAGAAGTTGCTGGAAAAGCTCAGCAGGTCTGGCATCATCTGCGCAGAGAGAAATCACAGTCAACGTTTCGGGTCCGGTGACCCTTCCTCAGAACTGATGGCAGCGCGGATAATGTCAGTTTATTTGGAGAAAATAGGGTAGGGGGAGGGGTTAAGAGTAAACAATAGATGGGGAATAGAGCCCAAATAGAGATAATAACAGTTGGACAGACAAAGGAGTGGACAACGATAACACAGTGTGGAGCTGGAGGAACACAGCAGGCCAGGCAGCCTCAGAAAATGAAGAAGGGTCCCGACCCGAAACGTCAGCTTTCCTGCCCCTCTGATGCTGCCTGGCCTGCTGTATTCCTCCAGCTCCACACTATTATCTCCGATGCTGCCTGGCCTGCTGTGTTCCTCCAGCTCCACGCTGTGTTATCTCCGATGCTGCCTGGCCTGCTGTGTTCCTCCAGCTCCACGCTGTGTTATCTC